TCTGAACGGGAAAACGTGTCTCTTAGTTTCATTTACGCAGAGGTGGAGCAGGTAACTACACTGAACCTGGTATTTGACTTTGTTCCCACTAGATGGTGTAGTTGCTATGTTGTCAACCAGACTACAAAGTACTGGTAGCTCCTGAAGAGAAATGGAGACTTAAACTGTGAGTCTGTTGTTTATTTCAGCAGCTTTGCTCGATACAGTCAGACGTAAACAAAAGAGCACATTAAATACTATTAACAGAAACATTTTGATTTCAATATATGATGCTAAAATGATTAAATACAATGCATGCATTTGGTAAAATTGTCAAGTGGTTCTATTAGAAGAGAAACTCAGTGAGGGAGCCAAGGTAGTAGAGAAATAAAACTGTTGCTAAAATACAATTTATTTACCACATAAAACAAGCAATAAAACAATCCTTGCGAGGGACAACAAATTTAAATATGTAAAAACAATGAAACTAAAAAGTTTCAATCGCCTCAGCCGATCAATTAGAACCGCTAAAAGTCCAATAAAGATTATTAAAATCCAAAAGCTGGCAGCGTCCTCACACGTCCTCTCCACTACCTCGCTCCGGTGAGCCCGAATGAGCAGCGCTGTTAACTGTACTTGACACGCGTGACTAGTATCTCGCCGTCCAACGATGTATGATGCGATACTATCGCGTCACCTCTTCACTCTTCGCCGACGGTGTTTCTTTCCGTTTTCGTCTCCAGCTGGACCGCCGCCAGGCACTCTTATTGGTCTGTTTGTGGCGCGAATGCGAACTGTGATTTGTCAAACGCGCAATCCTTCCAGGGCATGAACTCTCACAGGTGTGTGATAGGGGAGGTGAGGAGTCTCCCGGAAACAAGTCAACAAATGTCACAATAAAAGCATGCAATAAAACTGCAAGAGTACCACCCTTCACATTATTAAAAGATTAAAAATAATAAAATACAGCTACACATTCAAAATAAGACGACATTTAAAACACCACTCTTTCCCAGGATGACAAAATGATATTTACTTTAAAGGCCTGCGGTTTTAGGCTGAAGTCAGCGTTTTCTTCTCTGCACAAATGAGCAAAATTCAAATTTCAAGGGGCTCGAATTAATAAATACTGATTACCTGTCCAGTCATACACATAAACTACATGAAGTGTTGTCCTCTTAATTTGAGCATGAACTCTGCTGCCTTCCTGTCATTTAGTCAGATGAAGCATCACTGAACTCTGAACGTCTGCTGTCTGCTATCTCCAGTCACTGCCTGAGCCGCACGGACATCACTGAGACGTCCGCTCTTCACAGGGTGTCTTTCCAAACTTACTCCATCATTTCTGTTCAGGTGCCTTTTTCTAGTTTCCCTTTGTCTCTTTTTATCACTTTAGATTTCTTCCTCTATGTCTCTGTTTTTTCTGATTATTGTGGTGTTATTTATCAAATTATAATTCAGTATGAAATTCTGTTTTTGAAGAAATATCAGACTATAGCCAGGAGTTTATATTTTTTATTGATAGAAAACTCAAGAGATCAATAAACTCATGATTTTGACATTTTATCATATTTGCAATACCTGCATTAAGAAAAAACAGGAAATCCACAGTTAACACAACAAAATCCTGAATGTGCTGATGTGTTGTTTCACATCTGGAATATGAAGTGGGAGTTTCCAGAAACAAACTGGGACAAACAACAGCTCCAACTGTACAAATTTTATAGATTTATGAAATAAATGTTGCTGTTCAGCCATGAATGTGCATCCACAGTTAGGTAACTCTGCATCCCAGTGTTACATTTATGTTGTATTAAAACAGAGACAAATAGAGATCCAGATTTTTTTTGTATGAAGAAAACAGAAAAATATACAGAAGATTTTGAGACAGTAATCTGCACTGATGTACAGCAGAATAAATTTTGCATTAAAGTCCACAATTGGATTCGTTTTGCACAGTAACACATAGTGTGTTATTACAATAACAAGAAAAAATAACACAATTTCCCAAATGCTTTAAAACAGAGATTAGAGTTTAATAAAAAAAAATAGTTTCAGTGTTCACTTGAATCTGTTAAAGCGCTGCTATAATTGGGAGACACTGACTTTGGTAAATGATATCAAAATATCATAAAACATCATCATAGTTACAGATATTTATCTGAATCATCATATGTTTGGAAATATATAAATGTTTAAAAATAATTGGATGAAAAAGTAAGAGATTTTAAACAGAGAGGGGCAAATACCAAAATCAAAGAAAGTGATATTGATATCAGCGTCCAGGATCATTGTTATCAATCTCATATTAAGTAGATGATATTTGAAACCAACTGTTAATAAATAATATCGCATAGTCTCAAAAACCACAAACTACATTCATGACTTTGTTTAATATAAAATATTATAATGTATAATAATTTTAGACCTCCTTCAAGTTTTCAATCAAATCTCAGTCTGACAGATTTTGATATCAGATGTTTTTCGACTTCCATCCCCTCCAAAACTGAAATATGGGAAGAGTTTCTCAGTGAAAGTGTCTCTGTGGGTGCAGATCAGAGTCATGTCTTCAGGGTCATAGAAGGACACCTCCCCCCTGTCATAGTCCAGCTGGACTCTGATCCTCTGGAGACTCTTCTTCACTGTCACAGTCTGACCGTCACGGTTAAAGTATTTTCCACTACAATACAATAAACACCAGAATCCACAGTCTGGTGAGCCAAAAGATATCCCCTTCCTGTCAAGTGACTCTTTAGCTAAACCTACAAAATAGCTAGGATGGTCTCCCACCTCCACCTCCCAGCTGTGTTTCCCTGAGCTGAAACTCTCATAACCAAAAACAGTTATGTAATAAGTGTTTCTCTCTGGATTATCAGGAAGCTGCTGCTTTTTGTCTCCATGTCTCACACTGGTCAGATCATCAGACAGATAGAGACAGCAGTGTGCAGTGTTTGGGTCCAGAATGACAGGACTGAAGTGGACCTTCTCCTTCATCTTCTCCCACACTCTGAAGGACAGGTTGCCCAGGTGTTTGGCCACATCTATCAGTGCTCCTGAGACCAGCTGTGGATCTGACACTG